CATTCACTATATTATCTTATATCAGAATTTATTATGCTATATAAATTGATAAAACAAAAACACTAAAAATCTTTAGAAGAAATTATGTAAATATAATGAAGTCTTGAGTTATTTTCACGGCAAGGATGCCATATTAGAAATGAAACATTTTGTAACTATAAAATAAGAACCTGAGTGATATGGTAATTAAGATTTTATATATTATTATCGCACCACCTCTAGTTGGTATATTATATCTTAAAATAGTAGTAGTTTGTATTAATATCAAAAATATACTAGTATTAAAAATTTAATTCAAAACTGTTTTTCAAATAAGAAAAAAATAGCTTTCCCACACATAAAAAGAGAAGAAAAGTTATCCAATTTATTACATACATTCTGATAGATGGCGTTAAATATTTTAAAGCAATTTATTACTTATATTTATTATCAAAAGCATTTATTAGTAAGATTTATTAAAATATTAACTGTAATATATTATATAACTGTCAAATACGTCTGTAAAAGTGGTATTTAACCTAATCTTTTGTAATCAATTATATCTAACAGAGGATTATAAACTATAGGTTTACTTACTTTTTATAAATAAATTTCTTATACTTATTTGGATTTGGATTGAAAATAATTTTAAGAAGAGGCGGTAAATAAAATATAAATAATATAGTTGATTAGTGATTTTGAACTCGGCTAATTAGAATATTAAATTTGTTAATTTTCAATTAATATTTATTTAATAGGGTTATATAATAATTTAAATAATAAATGTCAATAAAGCTTCAACTGTTAATGCTAAATTAATATTTAGTGAGTGATATTAATTCTATTTTTAACACAGAATTTGATTGCAAGCTGACATAGTGAAAATATAATTTATAAGTATTAATCTAATCTAATAATTAAAATAGTATTCATTTAAGAATAATTTAGATAGACTAATTAATTTTTAAAATCTATATATTACTCAATAAAATTATAAAATAAATCATTCAGTGGGCAATCAAAAAATTTTATATTTAGTTCAGATATTAAGGAGCCATCAAAAAAAAATTTTTTTGTTTCAGGGGGCTATTCAAATTTTTCAGGGGGCTCGACCCCCCCCCCCCCCATAGCGACGCCACTGGAAGTAATAATCTTAAATTATATAGCCACACAAATAATAGATGCTGGTTACTCTGCAGTCAAAGCCATGACATTCACTATGCAAACTCTTATCAGAATTTATTATATTATATAAATTGGTAAAACAAAAACATTGAAAATCTTTAGAATAAATAATTACGATAATATATCGAAGCCTTGAGTTATTTAGAAGGATGCCATACTAGAAATAAAACATTTTGTAACTATAAAATAAGGACCAGAGTGATATGATGAAAGCAATTAAGATTTTATATATTATTGTTCTACCATCTAGTGGTATATTATATCTTAAAATAATAATAGTTTGTAATAATATCAAAAATATACTCATATTAAAAATTCAACTCAAAAGTTTTCAAAGAAGAAAATAAATAGCTTTGCTAAAAACACCTAAAAAAGAAAATATATCTAATAAGATTACATCCATTGTCATTGTGGGACATATTAAGATGTTTAATTTTTAATAATATTTTTAAATAATGGCGTTAAAGAATTAAATGCAAATTGTTACTTATATTTATTATCAAAAGTATTTATTAGTAAAATTTCTTAAAATATTAACTGTTATATATTATATAACTGTAAAATACGTTTGTTTGTAGAAGTGGCATTTTACCTAATATTTTATAACCAAAACCATTTATATATAATAGAGGATTATAAACTATATGTCTTCTTACTTTTTATAGAGAAATCTCTTATACTTATTTAAACCTTGAAAATATTTTTAGGTAGAGGCATGGTAATAATAATAATTTAAAAATAAATAATATAGTTGATAAGTGATTTTGAATTCGGCTAATTACAATATTAAATTTGTTAATTTTCAATTAATAAATGATTATATTTATTTAATAGGGTTATAAAATAATTTAATTAATAAAAATCTAAGCTTTAACTGATAATGCTAAATTAATATTTAGAAATTATGAGTGATATTGATATTCCATTGTTTGCAAGCTGATATAGTGAATATAATTATTTAATAATCTAATATAATAAAGAAAATTGCACTCATTTAATAAAAATTCAGATAGTCTTATTCATTTTTAAAGAATAAAATATAATTTATATGTATTAATCTAATCTAAAAAATAAAATAACACTTATCTAATAAAAATTTTGATAGTCTAATTAATTTTTAAATAATTAAATCAAATCTATATATAATACTTAATAGAATTATAAAAGAAATCGGTCAGGGGCTATCAAAAAATTTATTTTTAGTTTAGGAGGATATTAGGGAGGAGCCATTATGAAAAAGTTTTTTTCGCTTCAGGATGCTATTCAAATTTTTTTCAGGGGGCTACATCTCCTGCGCCCCCTCCCCCCCCATAGTGACGCTACTTAGAATATCTATCCATATTTTTTTGTTTAATTTCCTTTAGAGTCCTGCAAGTCGGGCTCGATGATTTTGCCTGATCCACATATTGAGCCGGCGAACCCCATCAATAAAATATGGGCCCCATCAGTGACCCGAATAATATAAATGCTATATTTCCTTCCTATTCTTCCTTTTTTGTCTGATTGAATAATATAATCCTAAAAATGTATTAAAAAAATATGAAAATATTAGAAAAAATCAGCAGATGGGAAATATTTACGATTGATTAATTTCTTATAATATTTTGTAATAAATAGAAAAACATATAAAAATATAATACATAAATTAAAATAGAGAATAAAAAAAATATTTTGAGTTTGGATTTTCTTCCTATAGCTCTTTTAGAAATTTACGCCCGAATAACTTAGCTAGCCACAGGCTGGGCCTAGATCTAAAAAAATTTTGCCATTCACCAACGGGCGGTATTCTGGAAATTTCTGATTTTGCATGTCTCTATTCCCAGTTAAATGTTTTACATCATTTTTCAAAGGAAATTTTTTTAACTAAAATGGTTATAGCCAGAGATGTATATGGTACGATTATAGTTTTTAAGTGTTCCAAATAATTTATTATTTAATAAATATCGGTGTACAAACTGGGTCAATTTAAAAAGTTTTAAAAAAATTAACAATTAATTAGATGAAAAAAAAAAAAAATTATATTATCTCAATAAATATTATGTTAAAATAGATACACGAAGATTTGACCTTAAATAATAATTCACCACAAATAAGAGAAATGGTAAATTGGTTATTTATAAGCATAAAAACTCTCCTAACATTTTAAACTATAATGGTCAAACTTTAAGGTCTCAAGAATTAGCATCTCTGTTTTTTGAGTCTGGGGCTTGGCTTGTTAAAAATTATTCTTAAAAACAATGCTAATGTTGGTTTAATGAATTGTAAACCAAAGAAGGGACGGAAAATAGAATTTATTTTTAGCATAAATTTTTTTTATCTGAACGTCCTGATTTTTCTGAAGGGGAATATGGAATTTTACCATATAAGTTTTGGTATCCCATATTAAGAAAGTTTAATTGTTACATGTCAAAATATAACAAACAATGGGTCTTTTAATTTTATATTGTAATCACATCTAATTTAAAAGTATTGAACAAGGGGAAAAAATTAATTCGCCGGTTAAGTCAGAGATTGATTGGAATTAGTATTAATTTGTCTTTATTTGACGTATTTATCAAGAATGAAATAAAATGAATAAATTTTATTTATATTTCGAAATATTGAACAAGAATAAATACTATAGAATAAATTGTGTGTGTATTGCATAATTATGGAGGAATATTGAACAAGAATAAATACTATAGAAAATTGTTTGCGATTGTATTGCATAATTAAGGAGGAATATTGAACAAGATGTGGTCTTTTTATTTGATAATATGGTTATACAAAAGAAAACAAGTGGTCTTTTTATTTAATAATATAGTTATACAAAAGAAAACAAGTGGTATTCTAAATGGAAATATATAACAATATATATATGTTTTATCGCCTTGAGATGATTTATATACATGTTAATTTCATTGAATAAAAAGATAACATAAGAAGTATACAATGAATTACAACAATTTAAGCGAACGTGCAACAAAAAGATATCACAGGATGAGTTTTGTAAGATGGTAGCAAAATTATCTGATTTTTATAATATAGACCTATTCCTGGAAGATGCAAACATTTGATATGAAATGTAGAAAAAGAAAAAAAATAAATAATTGATCTCCTATTTTCAGTTATAATATTTCCAAATTACTAGAAGACACCATATATAATCATACGATATTTAGAGGCAATTATAACACCCCCCCCCCCTCCCCCCCCCCACTCCCAAACTCTGTGTTAGCTTATAGTTTTATAGCTCATGGTGTATATAAATAATTTAAATGCATATTTTTATAACAAAAACAAAAAAACCTAATATATTATGTGAAATTTTCTCCAACAAAAATGTCCTAGTATTTTCTACATTTAGCCAAAATATTTTTTCCTCCCCTATAAAACTTCATGCAGACACTCCGGCTATTAGAAGACTCTCATATATCAAATTCTACAGTGTCTACAAGAGAGAATAAAATATCCTAGATTTACTTCCAACTCTCACTCTTTTTATAGGAGTTTACCCCCTTCCCAAGATTTTGGTAAACAAATGACTTCCACTCCCTTATTAAATCATATTTTTCTAGTGTTGATGGCTCGATTTGAGCCGAGTTTTAAAAGGGCTAACTCAACATTATAGCAAGGAAAATATTGCCTAAGTGTAGAGATTTCGATTAATAGATGTTCAATCCTATGTGCCTTCTATAAGAAAAATCTCTAGGCTTGCATAATATTTTTCTGGATAAAATATTGAGTTAGCCGTTTTTAAAAAATCGGCTCCAATTGAGCCGTTCAACAACACTATATTTATCTATTTTTTGTCTGGTCAGGGTTTAGCACTAATCTTTATACCTATAAATATATCTTAGTAACCTATCCTCTTATTAAATTGCGATTTTAGATAGAAGAAGCAATGGGAAAAGGATATAATAATTATATGTGTAAAAAGGATTTCCATCCTGGGGCCATATGGAACCTAAAGAGAGTAATTTGACTCGATGATTTATATATTTATTTACAAATAAAGGTCTTCATGGCTCAACAAAAAAATGAAGAGAAGGTAACCTATGAAAATGATATGAAAAATCTATATCAAAAAGAACAGCAGATGATTGAACACAGGTAGATAATTATCGTCATAATAGATAATATATTTAACTATAAGAAATAATAGATTTACTATGATTTAATATTCTTTTTTAAATCAAACTTAGACAATTGTTGGGTGATGATAAAGCAAAGTTGGGTTTAAGTTTTATGTATGATCTACCTCCTGGAGCTCCTAAACAAGCTGCTAAAATTCCAAATGAAAATGAATTAGTTAGTTTAAATCCTATACCAGTAGCAAATTCTAAAGACATTGTTCAAGTTGATAATAAAGGAGAGGAAAAGAAAAAAGTTGAATACAAATTTGAATGGCAGAGAGGTGCACCTAGGGAAAGGTAAATCAAAATTCATAAAAAAATTATATATTATTTATCAAATTTCTTTATTAGTCAACCTTTGACAGATTATCAGTGATGTATCTAAGATTTTGTTTTAATGGGTTCAAAAAAATTACAATATGAAAAAAATAATTTTTATTAATAAAATCAAATGTTACAAAGAATTATGAGGCAAAAATGCTCCTTTAAACCCCCCCCCCCCCCACCTTTATCTTAATATAACACTGCAGGTAATATATTATTAAACAAAGTATACATTATTTTCCTTTGTTTTTTTGCTTGAATATGGCATTTTAATTATTTTTTCACCCCTTAGCTATCTCAAAGGTAAAACAGATTTGCTAATAGATCAGCCATTTGGAATTTGTGTTAGGAATGTCAGATGTTTAAAATGTCAGAAATGGGGCCATATTAACACAGATAGGGAATGCCCTCTTTACAAGGAATCAAATACTAATCTGGCTGATTTTTTTGAAAAAAGTTTAATTTTTTAAAATAATATATATATTTTATGTTTTATAAATAAATAACTTAATGAGGCTTGTTGTAACTACTCACATTTGATATTATATTTGCCAATATTGATGCTAAATTGCTCTATTTCAGCCAATTTTTAAAAATGACAAACTTATAATTTTAGCCAGAAAGTTTCGATTTGCTAATATAAGTCCAAAGTGCCACCTGTGAGCAAAATCTTCAGGCTTGCGTAATATTTTTTTAGATAAAATATTGGGTAAGCCATTTTAAAAAATCAACTCAAATGGGCCAACTTTGCATCACTATTTGCCCATATAAAGTTCATTATTTTATATTATCAAGATGAATTTATCAATATTCCTGTAAAAATAATATTTATCAGAGGTCCTAGATCCTGGCCTGGATCAAGCCTATAAAAGATATAATTTTAGTAATTTATGCCATTCTTAAAAATTAAAATCTAGATCAGACCCATTTTTAAAAAATTTAGAGTATTTTTAATATTCATATACTTTTCATATTTTAAATTGCTCTTTGAAACAATTTTCAAAATGCAATTATTCAAAATAACAAAAATTTAAGAAATTGGGACAAGGCCAGGCCAAAAAATAAAAATTCTAGTTGGGCTTGAAATTAATTCTTTTTTTCAATACCAGGCATTAAATTTTGACTTATGCATATTATCGCATGATTATAGTTTGATCCATTTATTTAATGTTGAATTTAATACCTTTCCTATTTATTCCTCCACCCATTCTTTAAATAATATTGACGAGTGGCATGCTGTCTATAGGGTAGAGCTCTAAATATTTTAAAAAATTTTGCATGTGCCTAGCAAAAATTAAATGTATATTTTATTTTTTTAGCTAAGCCCAGCTTAAATTATTTAATTGAAAAATATAAATTACCATTTTTAAGTCCAACCTATGAACACAAGCTTGAATATTATTATTTCAGTCAAAAACTATTTAATTAACTTTTATCTGATTGATACCCATATCGATATTTTATGTTAGTAAAAATATTCCTAACCCCAGATCTAGAATCGCCCATTAAGGGGTAGGGGGGGGGTTTTGATTATATATCAATTGATACCTATATTGGACATATCTAATTTTATAAACCCAAGAAAAAGCAAAATAGATTAATGTAGTCATATGAAAGAAATAAATACTACTAGATGAATATTGGTATATAAATATCATTGTAAGAATACTGATATAAAGAATACCATTGGATGAATATTCCTATAAAGAATACCATTGGATAAATTAAATATGATTGACATTTATTGAGGATTATATATGTGTTGTAACTTATAAAATTTACATTATTTCCACCCTATGCACAGTTGATTATAAAAATTATTTATAAAAAATTTAAAAATATCATTACATAATCGTAATTAGGGAATATCAATTCTTGAACTAATGGATATTAACTCTAATCTTGGTTTATGGTTAATTGTGGATCTTGACTAAGATATTTCAGATGCAATTCTGGAGCATCTAATTGGTCAAGATGTGATTAAGTCTGAAAAGATCTAGAGAAATTTTTAACAACAAAATACACCCTACTCAGCTCCCGTGTATGATACTGTTGGCATAATATCTAGACATGATTGACCTCTTTTGAACCCCCCCCCCCCTTTCCATTAAATATTGTGGTTATACCATCACATCCATGATTTTCCATATTTCAAGATCCACAATTATCCATAGGCCAAGATCAGGGGCGGACTGGTGACGTTACGGCCTCGTGGGAAATTTTTATTACTTGTTATTTTTTATAGGTTCAAACATTTTAAATTTTAAAAAAAGAAAAGAATAATGACACGATAATCATATATTTTATTTTAAAAAATTGCACATCCAAAATCATATTCATTGAACACATAAAAAAGTATTCATTGCACATATAAAAAAATATTCATTGCACATATAAAAAAATATTCATTGCACATATTAAAAAATTTTCATTGCACATATAAAAAAATATTCATTGCACATATATATTTTATATTAGATTTACAAGGATATTGCACTATAAAATTAAATCATACATCACATGTTAAATATAATATAATACATCATACTCAATATATAAAATCAATTAATTACACATATAAAATTATAACAATTATACAATATTGCACAGAGAATAAAATTGTTGCACTTTAAAATTAGAGTATTGTAATAGATATAAATAAGATTTAAATAAATGAATTAATAATATATAATTTTTATGTTAATAAATCTCTCATTAACTTTGAACCTTTGCGTAAATAAACAAGAATATCTTCTATTTCAATCTGCGATAATAGTTCTCGTTCAACTGACATCATTAAAAACGCTTCTAATTTTTCTTGGCCTATATTAGCTCTCAGCCTATTTTTTATAATTTTCAATTTGCTAAATGTTCTCTCACAATTAACCTGCGTAAATGATAAAGTTAAAATGTATTCATACGCCAAAAATAAATTAGTGTATGCACTTGTATGCATATTATACCTCTTAAGAATTTCATACACGCATATTAAACAATTGTTACATTTATCACACTTCGAGTTATTATCATATTGTAATATTCCATCTTCTTCATTCGACTCCTCACTTGTACATAAGATTTTATCGTCCGTTTCATTTAATTCTGCTATTAAATCTTTGAATACACTAGAAAATGAACACAATTCGTTATGTAATTTATCACTCGATATATTTGCCAATTGCGCCAGTTTTTCCAAGGCCATTTCAGAAATACCTTTACTATTTATGTCATCAAAATGCCTTGGATGCAAATATCGCACATTCAAAATAAGCTCTCTATTTGCAGAAAAGCGTTCCGACAAACTGTTTATAATTTGATCAATTATAGGACGAAATACTTCAACCCTATAAAGGTCAATCGATTCTTGAGGACGTTCATCCTGGCCTTCATCACTATATATTCTCTTTGCTCATCCTATTAGAATTTTTGGCAGAGCAGTCTGTACACAGATACTCTCCGGAAGCTTTAAATATGAAAGTGTTTCATTTAAATCAGAAGCCATTTTTATTGCTTTATTTTGAATTGATGTAATAGTAATCGATGACACAGAAGACTTAGCATCATCTATCATCTTCCATGCCGACAAAATATCTAAATTTTTGGTTTGAAGATACAATGACAATGGCCCCATTATTTTAAAAATTTCTAAATATATTACAGCTGTACTAAGAGTCTTAAATTTACATAAATTATCTATCAACGACTGCGCTTCTGATGAGGTTTTTGCCTCAAATGATTTATTATCTATTATAAATCGAAGTGCACTTATCGTTATTGGAAGTAAGTTCTCTTTGCCATATATCCATTTAAAGGCTTTTTCACATGCCCACCACCTTGTCTCACCTATTTTTTGCAGCCTTCTCAGTTTATTTTGGCCAGTTGAGTTATTCTGTTTCACCCAAGCGTCCATCCTTTTATATGATTCACCAAAGAAAGTTGCTAGTCTGTTCAATAATCCAAATAAAATTTTGCCTTCAATATTATCGCATGAATCACATATACAGAGATTTAATATGTGACTATAACACCAAATATACAAGCTACCTGGAGCCTCTTGTCTAATAAGAGCTTGCAACCCAACAAATTCCCCCCGCATATTTGCAGCACCATCAAATGATTCTCCAATTATATTTCTCATTTGAATTCCATGTTTTAAAAAGCATTCACTCAAGATATCAAAAAATCCTTTTCCAGAAGAGTTCGTAACTTTTGTAAGTGCAAAAAGCCTTTCTGTTATTTTACCATTATATATGTATCGTAGGCAAATGGTTGCTTGATCATAAACGCAAATGTCTTGAGTACTATCCATTTGCAAACTAAACCGTTTGTTACGAATCTCCTTTTTATTAAATTCCTGATTTGATCAAGAACAACATCAATAACTTTGTTGACATTGTTTTTGACAACAAGGTTATGAGAGAACCTCTTCCCTTCGATTTTGATTTGTTAGATAGTTTAAGCGTATCTTTTCTACGTTTGCTTTTTAAAATAGCCTTCTCTAAATGATCTCTAAGTATTTGATCATTCTTTGATATAATACGGATCATTTCCAGGAAATTGCCATGATTTAAATTTTCATTATCAAAGAGGCTAAGTGTTTCGGTAGCATTTGATCATCTGTATGGTAAGTTTTGTTTACCTAAAAACTTTATTATTTCAAATATTTGTTTTATTATGTGGATATTGTTATGAATTTGTCGATTTTTTTCATTTAATATTTTAACGCTAATTGAATTATTAAACGACTGGTTTTTTGAAGCTCTGAGGTAGGCCTCGACAGCACTAATATGCACTTTTGAATTTTCATGTATTTTAATAACTGAGTGCATGTGACGAAAATTTGTAGAGCCTGTTGTGAAAGTGTTTTCACATACTGCAAATGCCAGGCAGATTGAGCAGTACACAGCTTGGGCTTTATTGCATATAATTTTTATGGTAATCCATTTTCTAGGTATTTTTTCACTCATTACCATTCGATAATATAATTTATCATATTTGATGTTTATTGGTTGTATAGGATGTTGCATTAAAAATCTAAGTTTTTGAGATATAGTGGCTGTTAATTGCAACTTAAAATTTTCATGTGTATGCATATCCAATTCTGATAATCCACTTTGAGAAATATCTGAAGGCATTATTGATGTAGTTGCTTCTGACAAGTGTGAGGATAGTGGCAATGATTGAACTGATGCCATAATACATGAAGATGTTGTAGATAAGGTAGTTGTTTCAGGTAGTGGTGAATGGGAGACAGTTGTTGATATCTCTAAAAAAATAGTTTATTTACATGAAGTAATAGTATTTGAAATACTTGGTATTGATTTATCAAAAAAAGATAATTTAAGTTGTTTTGGATCAGCACCAGCTGCTTTGAGACCAGCAGAATTTTTTTTTCTTAATTTTTCAGCTCATGCATATATGAAAATATATCAATTCAACTAAAATAAAATTTATTA